TTATTTTTTTAAAAGATAGGACAGAAAGTGACTTCTATACTTTTAAAATTTATGCAAAACTTAGGAGGTCTTTAGACTGAGCCAACTATAGCTGTTTTTGCAAGAGTTGTTGATTTTGTTGTGAAGGTTTTCGTTTTTGTTGTTTCAAGAGTTATTGCTGTTGTTCTAAGAATTCTAGCTGTTGTTCAAAAAATTGTAACTGTTGTTCTAAAAGTTGCTGCTGATGTTGTGAGGATAATTGTTGTTGGTTTTTAAAGTTTTGTTCCAGTTGTTCCAAGAATTCTTGCTGATTCTGTATGAATTGATTTGCATCATAAGCATTGTCATCACCATCAAACTCATTAAGACCTTCTGAAGTGACAGTTGGATACTCCATTTTCTTTTTTTTTTTTTAAAAAAAATGGTTTTTTTGTGAAACCATAAAATTTAAATTTAGAATTATTTAACATACACAGCGAACCTCGATTTAATGGTAGTTTGGGCAATTAGGGAAAATTTTCCAAAAACTGTTAAACCAAGATATCTGCTATACCGAGAAGGTTTTTATTAAGGTTTATTATGAAACCATTCTTTGAACTTTATCTGTAAAACCAAGATTTTAATTAGTATTCACTAAATCGAGGTCCGCTAAATCGAGATTCACTGTGTATAAGTCGACCATGATTTGCTGCATGGTAATTAGGGATGGGGCGGTTCCGCTCCGCTCAGTTCGGCTCTTGTGGAGCCGCTCCAATAGATGGGAGCGGTTCTTAGAGCCGCTCTCCATTACACAAAAAATCAAAATGTTTCACAGAAAAAAAAAATACAAAACTTCGGCGACGAATAGACATTTTGATATAAGAAGGTGACGAATAACACATTTTTTAGTGTGACAATTAAACATTAGAAATGATGTATTTTTTTAAAACAGAATTTTCCAAAAAGCATTTGTCATTTAATAGCGAGTTCACTACTTTTAAAGGAAATTGTATCACATAAATTTAGCAAAATAAATATATAGTAATAGTAATAGTAATGTGTCGCGAAAATAAAATAATTGAATTTAGCAATGTGTCGCGAAGATAAAGTAATTGAATTTAGCAATGTGTCGCGGAAATAAAAATATTTGAATTTAGCAATGTGCCACAAAAATAAAGTAATTGCCAACTATTTATAAAAAGGCTGGTATCCAAATCAACTCAGAAGTTTTCTCACCTTTGTTTTAATATTTATAATTAATATTAATAATAAAAATGGATGAACAAATACAAGAAAATTTTGATGATCAAGAATAGGCAACTTCCACCGAGAGAATTTTTGCATCAACCCTGATGAATCAAATATTCGTTTTTTTATTATTTTATTATTATATATTTATTTAGTAAAGAAAAAAAAATCACGTGATATATTCGAAGACCTTTCCTTAAAAAGGAAAGACATCCAACAGAGCGGCTCCAGAGCCGCTCCTCGGCTCTATATCGGTTCGGTTCCAGAGTCGCTCAGGAGCAGCTCCTTAACGGAACAGCCCCATCCCTAATGGTAATTCCAAATATATCAAATTTCTTAATAAAAAAAGTTTAAGTCATTCCTATTATATATATCACATTTTGATATTATTAGAATAAAGTAAATATAGTAAAATAATTCACAAAATAATTCCAAATTAACTTTATATGAGGCTATTCCTCTTGAAAATAATTAAATATATATATATATACACACATACATTTCTAAATTTAACATTATAAATGGATAATAATAATTGCATAAATGATGTTATGTTACATGGGTATCATTGTATTTATTTTGAATATTCATTGCAAAAATATTCATAATATTTGAAATTTTGAAAATTTTGGATTTACGAATATTCAAATGGGGTAGGATCACAGTTATGAACCTTACTCTGCAAAAAAACATGTTATTTTTTTTAAAAAATTTATTTTATTTTATAAAAATTTAAAATTTGGTTTGTAAATCTTACTCAGAGGGTAAGATTTATTTTTAATAGTAAAATAAAATCTTAATCAAATCCTAAGATTAAATAAATTTTGATCAATTAATCTAATCTTAATCAAATAAAATTTTTTAACACCGAATTTTCATACATCTGGAATTGAATTTGGATACGAAATTCTAATTGGCTGATTGAATTTCATGCAAGTGAATCAAATTCATGCACAAGTATACCATTCAATTTTGGGATTCCTCAAATAATAAATTTTAAAAGAAGCAACTATGTAATGAACGTCCATAATTTACATGAAATGACAAATTTATTTTTTAAATTTCACAATTACTTATTTCCGTGAATATGAAATATAATTAGTCTAGGTAACTTTGATTCTTATAAAAAGGCAGCGATTTCAATTTACTCTAATCAATAATAAAATTCTATTCTCACAAATAAAATTTTATTCATCACAAATAAAAACCCTACCTTCACAAATAAAATTTTATACAGATAAAACTCCATCTTTACAAAGAAATCATGAAGTTTATTTTTGCTTTCCTTTTATTGGCTACGCTCTCCATGGTGGTCAATGCTATTCCACACCAACTTCTTAAAAGAACTACTACCTTTAATCAATGTCCTCCTACAGAAAATGGAGGACAACCACCTCAACTCACTGTCGTACTTTCAACTGATCCTGCAGTTCCTGGACAAACAGATGATTTTACTATTTCTGGAACACTAAGTCGTCCTGTCAATGATAATGACAATACCATTGTTCAATTTTTTAATACTGTATCTCAGAATCCCGTAGGTAATCCAACTAGTGCGTGAGCCGACCCTAAAATACCATTTTCTCAAGTATTGAATGTTAGTGTACCAGCAGAATTACCTAATCCATACGGTATTCTAGTTGTTGTTATAAATATAGCAACTGGAGAGGTTATAGGCTGTGCATATAGTATTGTTGGTGGTTCTTCTAAACCTGCAGATCTTGACTATTATCCCATCCCATTATTATAAATTATAATTAAAAATAATAAAAATCAAAATAGAATAACTTAATTGTTAATTATTATTATTATTATTATTATTTATTAGACGACGTTCTTGGAACGGATTCTATTAATTTAATATTTGTTATTTTACGTATTATATTATTTAATATTGTCATTAATTTTTATATTTACATGTTGCTTCAAATAAAAACAAATTTATGAATTTCCGAAATTTTTATTCACTAGTACCAGAACACACAGGTAAAAAATATGGCAGTATCCTTTGGCACAACCACACCACAACTAATGCAAAAAACAACCCCAACAGTATTCTGACTAATATCTAGGTTGGAAACATCACATATTGTTCCATTGCAGATTTCTTTGTTTATGACCAACTATGTTTGTATATTCTAATTTTGATGTTGATTATATTGGCTAATTTTCAATTTAAAATATTGTTGGTCACCAAAACTATTTTGAAGGGGCGAAAGCCAAACTAAAATTGAAAGTTATGTCAAAACTAGTTAGAATTATTAAAATCAGTCGAATATATATATATATATACAAAGAAATTATCGTGTTAAATACGATTACCATTAATTAATTTAACTGTGTTAAATTCTTTCAGAAGCTTTTTATAACTTGCTGTTATTTGTTGATATTGCTTTTCTAGTTAAAGCTAATTAAATTTGGTTGATCATAGTTGCATTTAATTTAATTTCTCTTGTGTGTATGCTGATTGTAAATCTACTTTATTGTTGATTCAAGTTATAAATACTAGCGCCAAACGACAACAATAAATGTAACATTTTATTATTTTATCATCGTCAAAAATGTCATCGATTTTATTCATGATCAGATTGGTAAAACTCGCCACAAAACTAATGAAACAGTCTCTGGAGATGTGGTGTTTCAGCTAAATGAGAGAATCCAGTTATTTAGAATTCAAGATGTTTTATAATTAAAGGTTGTGTATATTCGTTCATGTGATCTTTTTTTTTTTGGTGCCAAAATTAAAGTAGGTTTTTTGCTGCAAGTAGTCAATCATTAATGATAATATTTCAATGAATTAATTATATCCTCTCTCATATTATCTATTAGTTAGTAGTTCACCAAGAAATCAAACTCGACATACACATCAATGGTCTGAAGAATCCTAGCCGTTGGCAATGACATTTTCTGAAGAGGCTATGAGGTTATGATGTTACTAAATAACCGATCGTCACCTTCCAAGAGGCTTTGTTACTTCTAGGAAACCATCTACTATATATACTAATTTGAATAATTGTAGTGTATATATACTTACATGTGGACATGGTTGTCGCAATCATTGTCTAAAAAGGAGCCAATCTAAACGTTTGATATCTTGGACTATCTTGAAGTCGAAATCAAAAAAAAAGTCAACGCACTAAAGAAAGTATAACGAAAAGATCGAACGAAATGAGTTTATCAAAAATATCGAAAATACAGTTGATGATAATCTGGGTAATATTGAATCAGCAATAAAGGATGCAGCAACAATGGAAAATTTTATTAGGACATGCAAAAAAAATTTTTTTGGGTTGTAATTTTAATTTTATTAAATAAATTTGTTTGATTTTTTCATACATCGTTCATGTTTTGTCTTAATCGTATATCTTAAATGTTGACATTCGTTATATTAAAGTTATTTTGGTTATATTGAGAGATATGGTCAAGAGAAGGGTTAGGAAGAGAGTTATTCTTCAACCAAGTCGAAAACCAACCCTTTAAATATATTTTCGAGTAGTACAATTTAATTTGTTAGACTATTTCAAAGATTTGTCGCATGGTTACTTCTATTTTCTTAAATCCAAACCATTTGCTAACGAAACAACTGTTGGTGAAGTGATTGTTGACAAAATGAATCAAACCAACATTTATTTATTTTTATGTTATCAAATTCACGATTTTGATTGGTCAATCAACAATTATATGGGTTAAAATTTTGTTACCTGTTCTTATTCCTTCGCTCAAACAAAAAATTGTTTTTTATGTGTCAATGATTAGTAAACGTTCTGGTCTCGGGGTAATTCTTGTTTTTGAATACAAATAAATATTTTGTTGATCATCATCATTTTCGTCAAGTTTCGGTTTCTAGACGTTTTAAGAATATCAAAAGTTACATATATATTCATCAAAACCTAAGCTACATTTTGATAAAATTTTATGTATAGTTATTATGTGTAGTTTTGCGCAATCAGTAAAAACAGGTGTCCGAAAACTTTTGTCTAGGTGTATATATATATATAACGATTTTTAATCAGAATCAAATTAATTTGTTAGTTAAGTTATATTATGAATAAATAAAAATTATATTAAATGATTGAAATTCGTTATTTTTTTGGTGGTGGTTTTGATGGATCAGGTACATTACCATCTAAAATAAAAAAAAATGAAAGAATTCGAAAGCTAATTGATATTTATTATATACAGTATACATATTTTTATAAAGGTATGAATATATTTACCTTCAAATCCAATACCACATTTAATAGCAAACCAAACTCTAACTTGGTACAAAATAACCTGATCCCCAGCAAGAATTTGTTTAGCCAAATCCTTGGTATTGATAAAATTGTCAATGGTGTTATAAATTGCCTTGTTACATGTAGTGCAGATGGCTGTTGGATCAGCAACTACAATAGAATCTATAAAGTCACCGCCACCAAGATTGAACGGAGATTTAGGTAAGTTGATTGAAGTGGTGATGTCATTTTCAACTAAGCAAAAGTGGCTTGGGTTTCCAGAGTCTTTAAAACATATTGTTTCCCTCACAGGAGAATAGAAAACGGCAGCAGGAAATATGATTTTCATTGCTGTGGTTTTCATATCATCTGGATTACATCCGGTTTGAATTGTCTTAATAGCATATGCAACACCTTGATCAGAACATTTTGGTGCCGCACAGAATTCATTAGAGAATTCTATCAAGTTAGGTTGAAGTTTTTGAAGTCCAGTCTTTGGATTGGAAATAAGTGATGCAATTTCACTAGGATCGACTAAAATTGGTAAAAGTGGTAAAAAAGCAGGAATTGGAATGCATTGTATAAGTTCTGAAGAGGTAAGAATACTAAGTAATGCAGTTTGACATGATTGCGATAAATCTTCCACTAAAGCTATTGGGTCCTGACCCTGAGTAAGTTTAGCAACCCTAGCGATTTCATCTGAGTGATATCAGATATTGTCGCTTTTTTTGTGGTGCTGAAAATCCTAAACCCATTATAGCAAGAAAGAGTAAAATGACGACAACAAAATTATTTTTCATTATTTTTATTATTATTATTTTTTTGTATACAGACTTGAGAAAGAGAATAAGTTGCTTACTTTAAATACATTATTATTGATAATCAAATTCATTAATAATTAAAAAATTGAATTCGGACTTGTTTACATTTTAGATCAAGATTAGACTTTTTTCATTCAATTAATATATACTAACAATGATTCGGTCAATTCAATTAATTAGTTTCCGAGAGATCAATCTCTCATTTAATTAATGACGTTTTTTATTAAAAAGAAAGTTTGTCAAATTAATGACGAGCGAGTTCCTTAAATTCGGGGTTAATGATGAGAGGGCTTTGTTTTGAACAAAATAATCAACAATCTGAGGCTCGTTTTTCATTATTGTATTGTTTAATACCAATAAAAAAAAAAAAAAGTTTTTTTTACTCTTGGGGATGTAGTAGAATTTTTCATATATATGTATATATAACGATCTTTAATCAGAGTTCTAAATAAGAATTATTCAAATAAAATAAAATAAATGAAACAAAAATAAAAGTAAACTAGATGAATGCTTTATGACAGTGACTTCGTCACTAGTGTTACTTGTTATTTACTGTTTTAAGGTCTCTATTCAAATAAAAGTTACTATTTGAAGAAAAATTTCTGGCCTTCGGCAAAGTTGAATGATTTTAATATTGTTATTTAATCACCAATAAAATAATTGGATCACGGAAAATATCTCAGACAACGGAGAAACAAATATTCTGATGTAACAGACCTTTAATTCTCAGATTAAATTCAAACAAAAGAATTTAAATTATTGGATCACTTTAGAAATAACTTGAAAATAGTTCTACACAGAAAGTTCAAGTAATACATTTAATTAGGAATAATAAATAATATTGTCCTTATCTTTGTCCTTGTTGTTGACTTGAATATTGTATTTTTGTAATGATAATAAATCTATCTCTAACAATGAATCCATACCAAATCCCATGCATAATCATTTTTTCTCTTATTTTATATCTGTACATTTTTTTTATTTCTTCTCTTTTCTTTTATTGAGGTGATATTTAATGAATTTTATTTAGTAGTTTTGGGAACACACCTGACTTGAGTATGGAACAACAGCTAAGGAGGGCACCCACTAAGAAACGTGATCAGTAGTGTAAAATCTAAAAAAGATATTGTTTAGTACAGGAAATTGTTTAATGATAGTGAAAGATAGTTTTGAGAGTAAAAACATGCCAGAAATTGTTGTTACGATTTAGTATAAATAAATGATATTAGATTAGTAAAAAAAGTAGTTAATTTTTAATTTTTTGAAATTTAAAAAATCCCACTTGCGTAACAATAATTTTTTTAAAAAAAACAAAGGGAAACAATTTTTTTTGTTAAAATCCCATTTGCGTAACAATTTTTTGTTAAAAATAAAGATATTTATTACTAATAAAAAGAATTATTAAATTTCCCACTTGCGTAACGAAAAAAAAATTTTTTGCCTTAGTACTAATGAAGAATTGTTAATTTCTCGCTTGCGTAACAATAATTTTTTTAAACAAATTTTTGCCTCCAGCGAATGAAAAATGAAAAAACAACTGATTTTTTGTTTTTTACCTTCAGAGAAATGAAAAAACTGATTGATTTTTTGCAATCTGCATGCTATAATTAAAATATTTCTCAGATAATAACGTATAGTTAAAAAAAAATATTGGCAGGAGAATTTTTATAGTTGATTAATTTTTTACATAAAGTGAAAAATAAAGTGAACCTTTA